CGACCGTTGTATTTTTGCTTACAGGTCGATCATTCTCCTGTCAAGTTTTGAGGGGCCCTAGTTGGTGTTTGTTGTGTTCCAGCTTTTTAACTGCCTCTTCGGGTTCCGCCTGTCAGGTTCGTCTCTGCGCCCGTTAGTAGGGTGGTTGTCTTAATGTTTCCCCTGTTCCCAGGTGAATGGTACTTCTGGTTGTGTCTTGAGTGGTTGGGTTGGTGGGGTGAGGCCTTGAGGTTGGTGGTGTCATGGGTGGCCTGGTTGTAGTGGGTCGGGTTGGAGATAGGAGTCGCGGCCCGCGGGCCGCCCGGAGCGCGGCGTCCCCAAGAGTGGGGCCGGGGGGGGGGCTGGGGCTCAGTGATGGCAGGCATAAGGGCCATGGTATCATGTGTTCAGTGAGGGGTAGCGTGTTAGCTACCTTGTCTTTCAGTGAGGGGTAGCGTGTTAGCTACCTAGTCTTTTGTTGTATTGTTGGCAGGTGCTCAGTTTGTGCATACGGCTACCAGGGGATGGATGTGTCTCCCTCTAGCCACGGGTCCCAAACTTTGTGAAAATGTTTGGGGGTGTCTCGGAGTTGTGCTGTCAGTTTATCCATCTGTGAACTCTCTGTTATTTTTCTTGTTATCATTTCTTGTGTTGGGATGCGGGTCGTAGACCAGAGTTCGGCTATGGCTCTGCGGATGGCAAGCACAATCCGGGCTATCAGTTTGTTTTCTGATCTCGTGAAAGGATCTATGGGCTTGGATAGCAACAGGGCCCAAGGGTCTGCCGGGCATGGTTTGTGTAGTATTTTGGCGATTAAGTGGGTGGCGCTTTGCCATAGAGGTCGGAGTTTTGGGCACGTCCACCAGCAGTGGAGGAACGTTCCCGTCTCTCCACATAGCTTCCAGCATGCGTTGGATGGTGTCTGGTGCATGGAAGCCAAGCGTTGTGGTGTGAGGTACCAACGAAATAGCATTTTATATGCCTGCTCGGTGTGTGTAACGCATATGGAGACGGAGGCTGTTGCCTCCCAGATATCCGCCCAGTCTGTCGTGTCGGTCGGTGGACCCAGGTCTGTCTCCCACGCTGATATGTATGGGAGGGAGCGTTGTGTGGGGTGATTAGCTATGGTTGTGTACAGGTCTGAGATTTGACCTTTTCTGCTGGGGTGGGTCACGCATCTGCGTTCAAATTTGGTGAGTGGTGCTGTCCCCGCTTGTTTAATGCTTGGAATCGCTGCAAAGCTACGTAGTTGTATATACCGAAAGTGGTCAAATGTTGTGAGGGACGCGGAGTCTGGGATTTCTGAGAACTGGATAATGTCGTTGTCCCGATAGAGGTGTCCTATTCTAGCAATGTCTCTTTGTTCGAACTTGGCGAAGTGTTTGGGTGTGAGGCCCGGGGGGAACAGTTTGTTCCGCCAGATCGGGGTCATCGGGGAAAGGAAAGATGAGAGGTCATACTTATCTTTTGCTTTGTCCCACTGGTCAAGTGCGTGCGTGATCGCGGGTGCTGTCGGCGGTGGTAGGGGTCTGTGTGGCCTGGGTGTCCACATGTATAGGGACGGGTGGTCCCAGCCAAAGATCAGGTGTTCCAAATCCACCCATCTCTTCTCACCCGGCTGTACGTGCCAGTGCTGTATCTGTGCTAAGTGTGCTGCTGTGTGGTAATGTAAG